TTATCCCTCGGTCGAACGCGAACGCAACAGATCCGCTCTCGCCACTGGCCTCCACTTTCTCCTCCTCCACGGTTTCCTTCCCCCCCTCTTTTATGGTCCCAAGCGCATCGATCGCTTCCTGGAGGGCGTCTCGCATCACATGGCCTGCCTTTGCTCCTTGGGACGGATGGAAAGAGTCTACAGGAGGGAAAAAGCGAAAAAAGGTATAAAGTCTACATACCACCCGGACTTTATCTTTGGCAGAGCCCCTTTCTTCCTACGAAGACACCTTCCCTGCGTCTCTTCGCCCAACTCTACTTCCCACCTCTCTTGTTTTATCGCGCCACAAATGCTAAGGTAGGATTTCCATCGCTCAGTCACATGCTTGAGTTCCCCTCCTCGTACTCCCTCCCTCTTCCCTCCCTCAACTCACGCAACACGTCAATTAAATTCAACAGGGCGATGCGAAACGTTAGCTGCGCCACAAGAGATGCAAGATCCCTGTCTTCTCCCGGCCCTCCTTTTCTCTCTTCCATTTCCCCCCCTTCCTCATGCCCCGCCACCCCCTTATTCTGGGAGGATCCTCCCTCTTGGAGGCGGAGACCCTCCCGCGCCTGTGCGGTACCATGGGAATAAGTAAGCGCTTTCACACTTCTAACCAGGCCCTTTTCTCTCATTCTCCCTTCTGCCCGTTCTTGATCTCCACATTGCCGTCATAGTCACACCCCCGGATCTCTCCTTCCTGTCGCCTTCGATCCCTCCTCTCCTTGTCACCTACCTCTTTCAACAGAAATATAGCGTCGTCTGTCTCCAAATTCTCGGCTAAATATAAGCCCAAAGAGTTGGGCTGCGCATCCTCCTCTTCATAGATATCTGCGTCCAAGATGACCTTGCCAATGGAAGGGAGGGAGGGGGAGAGCAGGGGAGGGAGGGAGGAGAAAGGTGAGGCTCAAGTCCAAGCACGGAACCCTTCCAAATGAGAGGGAGGGTGGAGGCAACTCAGACGTCAGACAGCTTGCAAGAACAAGCACATTACGATCACTGATAGAGCCCATGCTTTCAGGAGGGTTCGTGGAGCGACGCAGATTTGAATTTAAATACTCAAATCTGAAAACGCTCGCATTCCCGAAACAAATAGGCCCCTCATTGGTTTGGTTTTCATCATCCTGTCTTGAGATTTCCCCCCTTTGCCCTTTCTCCCTCTCTTCCTCCCTCCCTCTCTCCTTCGTTCCTCCTTCGCCCCTACCAACCTTTCGAAAACCGGCCACGGTCTTGAGGGTGCCGAAAACCACCGCCAAAAGGGCGAGGGCCGGGGTACAGGCGGGGTCAGAGGTTATAGCGTCTGGAGCACCAGGGAAACAAAGGGCAGATGCAAGATTAGAGACGCAAGCCATTTTCTTCTAGCTCCATCCTCTCTGTCAAGGTATTCCCGCAGCCACAGTTCACCTCTCCCTCCCTCCCTCCCTCCCTCCCTCCTTCCCTTTTTACCACCCTTCCTTCCTCTTCACCTCGCACGATTGGTCCCGCAGCTCCTCCGCCCCCGCTTTTTCTCCTCATTCCCTCTGCTCCACTCTCGTGCGGCTCCGATGTCCGAGTCACACCGCATAGAGAGCAAAGGGCGTGGATGCTCGCTCCATGCGGGTACAGACATAGGAAGAGGGAATCCAGGAGGCTGGCGCCCTGGTACCACGCGACCTGTTTGAGAGGACAGAGGGACGGTGAGAGTGGCCACTTTTCTTCCAGGGCAGCGGTTGGTGCGTTTTGAGACGTACATAGCTGTGTGTGGAGAAAGAGAAAGTGAAGGATCCAGAGGCCATGACCATCCCTCCTCCTCACCTCGAAGGCAAGCATATTCTCGACCACACGAGCTGCTTGAGCTACAGAAACTTGCACAGGCAAGGCTCCTCTTTCTAGACGGGATTGTACGCTTTCTACGGGCTGCACAGAGCGAAGCATGGGTGAAAAGAGGGGAGGGGATGAAGGAAGACAGGAGCGACGATTCCGGGAGGCAAGGAGAAAAGACCGAGTGGACAGAGATTGCAAGCACAAAGTCAGTGTAGGAACCTAAATTTAGAAGAATTAAAATATGCACGACCGAAAACTAGCCCTTAATGCTGAACGGTAAATATGCAGCTGCTTCACTCAACGACCCAACCTCCTCCTTCCTACCTCGAGCAGGGATTCATCCATTTTCGGATCCATGAGCTCCAAGGCACTCATGGCTTCGAAAAGAGAAAAGGCCGGAGAGCAAATCATTTCACCCGTGTCGAGAGAAGCGGCTGCGAGGCGACAATCCTGTCAGGAGAATAATGGAACTTTACGTTGACAAGGCCCGAGTATTTGCTAAGGCTTGTACAAAAAGGACTACTGGACGCGAGATACGGAGTACACTAGTCATCGACCCAGAAAAAGTTAGAATCAAGATATCTTTCTTCAAATCCGCGCGCTTCACATGCAAATGGAAGCCATACTGGATGTCTGAAAACAACATCGAAGCTTACCGATGTGATGTCTGTCCATGCTGCTCCGCTACCAGAGCCGCCAGTCCCCTCGTCAACCGCGTCCTCATTCACAGATGCCATGCGTATGGACTATGCATGAGATATACGAGGAACAGGACGGTGAAATTCCATGAAGTGTACATATTTCCACGATGTCGTCCGCGTACTGCCTCGCCTCGTACCATCCAATGACAGGAAACGCGTCGCCAGCAACCTCCTCCCCCTCCCATAGCCAATGACCACAAATATGCGCCTTACGTGCACCAGCACGCTCGGAAAAGGTCCCACATTCGGTTTTAGGCTATTGATGTGCTGTTCTATTCATAGAAAGTGTAGGAGGGCTCTAAAAATGGTTTACTCGGGAAGACATGTTTTCCCTTCGTCTTCATACGAGCCCGAGGGGCTTCCTCTGCTGTCGCGTATGTACGTGTCCATATTTATTTCCGACAAGCATTTAATACATGTTTCGCATGTCAGG